GGGGGCCATGTCACCAAGTTCACCGACTGGTTGAACACTCCGACTGTGTTGATTCATCAAAAGGGAGATGTGGGAATCCCTCCTTCCGTCATGTGGCCATGGTTCAAAAAAGGACCCAGAGATTTATTGGCAAAAGCAATGCTGAAACAAGAAGGCAGGAAAAAAACAAATACAGTAATTGGATTAAAAAAACACTCGTCTGAAAATAAAAACACTCGTTGGTTGGTTTGTCTCAATTCACAAAAAAAAGAAAACAACGAAACACGCCCTCACAAGCCTTTCGAAGCTTTTCACTCGTCCGACGTGTCGGATGTTCGGGCACCTCTTGCAGATCACTTGGGCGATCACCGTGCTGCGCCACATCCTGACGTGCGCCAGTTGCCAGCAGCGAGGCATATGAAAACTCCCACAGCACAGGATGGTGCCATCATGTGCCATCCCTTTCGCTGCGTTTCGCAGTGGACTCAGCAGGTTCAAATCCCAGCAGGGCCGAGCACTCCTGAGACAGCAAGTCTTTGGCACGACCTGAGGCAGCGGTGGCTGCGGAAAAAAGGAACGACCCGTTGACGTGCTGGTATTTTTCTGCCATTCAAACTACCGCGCTGCACCATCGATGATAATTCTTCAGCAAAACCTGCTCAAATCTGTTGTGACGGACAGAATATGTTCACGATGAAACAAAAGGACTGCAATATATACTACAAACGAAGAATTTGAGGTTCCAATTAATTCCACATCACAATTCTGTGGAGGATGCATAATGAAAATCCATCATACGAGTCAAGCCCAAAGCCCTTTGAGTACAAGCCAATCTTCAGAGAATGGCAAAACTTCCGTTGGTGTGCCCATTGCGGATGGCATTTGGATGGTTCACCAAGCCCCTGAAGCTGTGGAGACCCAGTTCCTTTGAGTCAGGTGCCCTATGGCCCTATGGTTTCTACATATCATCCCTTGCATCCAACTCCAGCCCAGCAACGCAGCGACTCCAGCGCACGCTCCAGCTCGCCGAAGTTGCGCAAAGCCTCGTTCGCAACGCTCACCGGCGACGGTCGATTCCGCGACCTCTTGACCTCCTCAAGAAGCTGAGGAGAGGACCTTCGGGACCTCAAAAAAGAAGCTGATCAAAGAACGATAGCCAAAGACTTTGCACTCTGTCAAGGGATCTTCTATACGTGTGTATACCTCGGACTCCACCCCAGCCTGTGGATCATGATGGCTACTCAGGGCTTGATAAGGCAACCCCCAAGCTGCGATTCCAAGGCATAAAGTGTGGGTATCATTGCCTCCAGGGCCTCTGCCTACTCTGCACATCTCTGCACTTCATAGATTTTAGGAGGAAAGAACCGCCATGTAGGGCGTGGTGTGGAGGAATGCAGTACACTTTGTCGAGATCCATCTACCACCCACCACGCTGTGACTCACGTTCACTTTGGATTGGTCACGTGTTTCAGAAATCCTGTTTCCGCTAGAAAGGGACCTTTGTGTCAGAACTTACCCTTCCCACAACAAGTACGGAAGTGGAGTTCCTCCAAGAAACACGGAAGAAAAATGAAAAGTTCGCCACCAAAGCATGGGTCTATCCGATGGATTTTTCACGCGGATTGAAACGCCAAGCAACCCGCCCCAAGGTCACATGACCTGCATACCAGAGGGGCCTCGGCCGGATCTGGGAGGCCCTTTTCGACCGGAGAAATGAAATGGTACCAGAAATGTTGCGTTTATTGTTACAGTAAGTTAAGACAAGGATCGTCAAATGTGGTCTTTTTAGGAATTTATGTGTATATGCTTGTATATGTGTTTAAAATGTGTATTCCTAAGGATCGTTGACCTCTAGACAAGTATGTTTAATTCGCGGTCCCAGTTTTTTGCAGTTGAATTTACTGTTGATTCACGCATGTGTCTGGGATCATGCGCAACACCCTGAAGCTTGTGAGATACATTTCAATCCCAGGTGTTCTTCCGTCATGGTCACCTTCATTGGTGAGATCTGGCTGTGGATTCCAAAGTGAGGCGTCACACCCCTGTACAGAAGACTGTATTTAGATACAAGTGGCATCACCCCATCTGGCATCTTGTGAGGGAAACAAATCAACTTGAGTAGAATCCAGGAATCCTGGTTTGATTGCATTCTGCTGAGCATGTCCTTTCCTTTTGGTGTACCACTGCTGTATGCACCACCATGACTTTCTTTATCCTCACAATGAAACAAGCCCCAAGACTTCGTAGAGGAAGGCTATCTGAAAACAAATCGATCCTTTTCAGAGTCCAGGATGGTCCACGTGAGGGTATGTGGAGAGTGCAGTACAGCGTGCTGAAGGTTTCTTCCCGCAATCACGAATTCCCAGTCTGCCCCCTTTTTCCGCCTTGAAACATCCGCGTCTCAGAGCAGTGTGGGTCAATCCCCCGAAGCAGTCGGGGTCTGGATGCGCTCTTTTTGCCAATGTCACTGAGCCGCTATGGAGAACAAATGTGCCAAATGAAGAAGAACTGCAACTTGCATGCTCAGCTCCCTGGACCTCCAATCCAAGTATTGTTGGCGAAAAATAATAAACTGGATGACAAGCAAAGACTATTGAGGTTTCTCACCCGGCAATCGATAGCATCGTGGAAACAAATCCAACATGCTGCGAATGCCCCCCCCCAAAAAAAGAAACTCGTGAATCTGCCAGAACAAAGGGCCTCCCTTTCAACGCGCTTCACACATCTTCACACTCTCTTCTGGTTATCACTCCATCTTCTCCAGACCCTCTGGACCGCTCCGCCTTCCGTGCCGCGTTCCGCGCTACAACTCAAAGACCCCCGTCAAGGCCAGCAAGAGCTCTCGTGCCTCCGGGTCGCGAGGGCCTCGGGGCGCCACGAAGGGGTGAAAAGGCCGCGAAGGGCAGCGCGGCTGGGCGACCAGGCACTGGCACTTCATGTACGTTTGAAGAAGAGTTGGCAACAGTCAACTCTACAGCTCTTGTCAGCCAGCTGTGGTAGTGGTAAAGCAACCGTTGGCTTGGTCGGTGAGAAACAAAAGAGAAAATTTTCAGTTGGATAGCCAAGTAGTCCCTCAGATTCCATGCTCATTGTTGCTTTGAGAAGGGGTGGTCTCCGTTGAACAAGGTTGAATGAGCATAGCACCTCTTCTCTCTCTCTCTCTCTCTCTCTCGACATCGTCGTGGGTTCGAATGGTTTAACAGTGAGTTCTATGTGTCTAGGTGTTTCACTTCAACGACCCTGCAGCCCTTCTTGGCCGCCAAGGCGCGGAGATACCCCATTTATTTTTTCTTGTTCACACTCCTATGTTGTGAACCTTCCATCTACGTGTGTGTGTGTATATATATATATCTATGTATGTATGTATGTAGACCTCGGTTGTTGTAGGACAGAAGATCAACTGTTCCCTCAAAACTGCTGGAATTGAGGTGGGAAGCTATTCCATTATAGCCCACAATTCCTCATCAGAGTGTAACAGAATAGGGAGACCAACTCACCAATCGGCTCAATGGGTCAAGTCAATGGGTGTCTGATTTTTCTCTTCTTCCAGGTGGTCTTGGGGAGGTTGACCCTATTACACCCCCCCCAATAGCCGAGTACGTAGCTCATGCCGACTCGTCCCGACTCGTCCCGACTCGTCCCGCTTCGTCCCAAGTTCTGGGCGCTTCCGGCTCCCGAGCTCGGCACAAAGCCTTGGCCAGAACTCCTGTGGCGCTCCGCTCCACGACGGACGAGGCGACGCCGCACGGATCCGTGGTGTTTCCGAGAAGACCAGGGCTGCCGTTCAAGTGCTGCGGTCCGGTTCAAGGTCCGGCACTCCGGTCTTTTTCTCCGCTGTGCCGGACCGGTTGTGTCCTGAGATTCCTTAGTGGAACAAACCTAAGATGCCCTGCCCAGAAAGAGGGCAGCTGGTGGGGGTTCTGCAAGTGGATTGATCCCCACAAGTAGTTTGGGTGCTAGTGATGGATGAGAGACAAGGTCACCACCTGGCACCATGGTCTTATCTCACCCTTTGCATCGCGCGCACGCGGACACGCGCGAGCCGCACCGAGCCCCATAGATCGCCTGGGCCGAGTTCACCAGGGCGAGGTTGCTTTGGATCATCAACACCACCTGAAAGAGACGACGGAGGAATCCGGTGAGTTTCTTACAAACTCCCAGCCTCTCACCAAGGTGACTTGCCGAACACATCGACTATACAAATAGACAAATAGACAAAACCTCTTGGGGGCTGAAGTGGAGTCCTACGGGTTTTCACGAACAGCTCCACACAAACCCTGGCCTCCCTCAAAGCTATTAAATGTATCCGAACCGCGAGTCAAAGTACCTTCCGGCTTTAACCCATTCATTGGGCCAATCAGGTCTCCCTACATGCAAACATCAAGATCATCAAACCAATTGGCGGTGATCGAGCCACCAGCTGCTGCTGCTTGGTAGTCAGCTCCATCTCCGGCAACCCATGGCGATATCGCCAACCGTGGAAGAACGCGTAGAAGACCTCGTGTGGGGTGCTGTCGAGTATATGTCGCGATGCAGCACCAACCCTGGAATGCTGCATAGACCACCCTTGAACCTACTGTGTGTACATTCTGTATGGTTGAGCTGATGGGTGCTCATTGAGCTCAAGTGAAAGCTAGGGATTTGCGCCCAAAACACTCAACAGAGATCTGGAAAAGCAAAGAGGGCATGTGCCTCTACCAGGTGGATTCAACTTCTGCATCTTTCGACACGGGGTGCTTTTGGTGGACCGGTCCTCGACCGGTCTTCGGAAGTCGGGAGACCCCATTTGAGACCCCATAATGTGGAGAGCTGAAGGGTGTGTGCTGCTTAAAAGGCTGTGGTGAGCTGGAGGGTGCTTGATTGCTCACAACTTCACAACTTCAAGCAAGAACCGGTTCACAGAACTTTAGTCCACCAGTCCGCTGGGTCCGGCTTGTTGGTTAACCCATCAATGAACACACGGGGTTGTGTGGGACAGTGACACTGTCAAGCTCACATGATTTGTCCCAAATGAAAATACCTGGAGAACAAAAAGTCTTTAGCAACTCCTCTGGCTAAAGGTCGTTTGGTTTGGATGAATCCCATGTATGCCGGCAGGTGTGGTTTAAAATCTGAAAGTCAAATCTGTCGCAGCGCTTCCATATTGTTTGTTCAAAAAAAAAGGAACTATTCAGCACATGTTGTGAATCACCAAACGCTTCGCCACCTGACAGGTGTAGGAAAGCGCCCATCCAACTCTTGGAAGGCGACAGTAGCTGGCGACGAAGCACCCCGGAGCGGTGCGGAGACGAGGACGGAGGGACTTTGACGGAGGGACCGCCGGTCAATTCTCCCGGAGTGCACCGCCTGCTCGAAGACGCGCTCGATGCTTGAACAGTATGTACGTGCCCGGGCCTCTCCAGTGGTCTCCAATGGATGACTCCTTTTGTCCCCCGTTCAGTAGGAGGATGGTCTTGTTTAAGGTCTTCAGCGCTTCCGATGCTTCCCCGGACCCGTTGGGCCCCAACCTTTTTAAGTGGTCCACCGAGCCACGCGCACCACCTGCTGTGCAGAGAACTCAGTGACACTCACCTCCTCTTGTCCCCTGCGACGATGCGCGTCACGATGCGGGTCAACCAAGCAGGTCAGGGAACCTGGAAGGATCGGGGGCACCATGGTTTTAGTTTAGCACGGCCTGCGGCCTGCTGGCCTGCTCAAATCACAGCGAATCAACCAACACCAAGAGCGCACTTCTGCGCTCTTCTGCCAAACTTGACTGACAGGCTAACAGGTGTTGTCTGTCCCTGGATTCAATAAATAGCCATCATGTAGAGGAATGCAAAGGGCAGAATGTGCATTGTGGCCTTGGCAGTAAAAGTGCCTTACAGCTGTTTGATTTCGGTGTTATATTCTATCAAAAGCGAGCTTGCGGCGAAGTCGCAGCGAGGTGCCTTATCGAACCTTATGCCAAGAGCGCTCTACGGCGACAGCGGGGTTCAAGCACAACCTCTCATGAGTGACCGGCTGGACTGCTATGCTGTTCCTTCTTTACAAATTCACACCCCTCCTCAGCCGGAGCACTCACTTGAGATTTTGCTTCATGAACAGCCTTTTTGGCTGATTTCCGGCGCTGACGACCAGCGCGAATGCCCAGCTTCCGGAGCTTTGCTTCTTCTGATGGCTCATGCTGCCATCTTCCTTCTTCCATCGCCTGCAGGAGCGGAGCGCGCTCACATCCAGCTTTTGTGAGAACGTCGGCCAGCATTTGTGACGTGTCGCACCAGATGGCGTACTGCTCGTCAGCCACATAGGAGCCATAGCCGAGAAGATCCTTTATCTGAGCCACTAGGATCTTCACCCTTTTGTCTGTTGGTTGTCCTGCATCTTTCACGATCGTTGACTCCAGCGACTTGGCATCCGTGAACGCCAGGAGGATGCCCTTCTTGTACTCCTGGAGGTCCTGGACGGAGGTTCCAGGGAACTTCATCTCCATCAGCAGCGAGCGGACATAGTCGCCAGCCTCAGACGCCATGAGAAAGGCGTTGGCCTCTGCCGCAAGTGTCGAGCGGCAGACCCGCTTGATTGACCCGGAGTAGGTCTCAAGCAGCATGATCGGGGCGCTTGCCCCTGACTTGATCTCCTCAGTGGTGAGGACCACTATGTAGCCGCACTGGGACTTCATGTTCTGGGAGTTTGCAAAACTGCTGTCAGCGAAGACGGCGACGATGATGTTGTCCCAGGTCATTTCTTGATGCTTCACGAACCTGTACTTGTTGTCGCAGGTGTCCTTGGGCATCTTCACTGCTTTGTTCAGCTCAACCACATCCTTGACGGCGGGACTCGCCATGGTCTGTGAAGCGAGGCTCACGTTGACTTGGAGATCAGGTCGCGTCTGCCTCGTGATCCAACCAAGGGACCCAATCAAGCCCCTGAAGTCGGTCTTCTCCGCCTCTGTCAATGAGGCGTTTGGCATCTTCCTCCGCTCCTTGTCAACGACCATGAACTCGATGCCCTCAATAGCGTCATACTGGTCCAGGTCGATGGAGTTGGGGGTGACCTTGACATTCTCACCACAGAAGCGGAAGTCATTCTTGTGGACCTTCAGGTAGAGCTTCACTTCAAGCTCCTTGATCGCGCTCTCAAACTTGTTGCCGGTGCCGGTGCAGAAAAGATCATCAACATGCGAAGCCATGACACCGATGAGCTTGTTTTCCTGAAACAAGTAAAACAGGGCGGCTTCATACTTTGACATCTGCCATCCATGCTCTTGCACTGTCTTGAAGAGCTTCTTCCACCAGAATCTGCCTGCATCCTTCGTGCCATAGATGGAGCCTTTGGCACGGAAGAGATCCATTGGCGATACGCCCGGTGGTGGAGGTCGTGGTGGTCGTAGAATGAGGAGCCGGCTGATACCTGAGGATTGAAGGTATGCCGTTGAGGCATCACAAGCCCACACTGCCCAATCATGTAGGACGGCTACGGAGCAGATCAGGTTGAAGGCCAGGAGACTTGCTGTAGGTGAGTCTGTCCTGATGCTGATGCCATCATGACCTTCTTCTTGGTGGCCTTGGACGACCATTCTTGACTTTGCCTCGAAGGGGAACTCCTTCTTGATTTGGTCGGGAGTCTTCTTGGTGCGCTTGGACATGGCAGCAGCTAGGAGACGTGGCCTCTTGTTCTTGTCAGTGTGGACCCACCGCGTGCCGACGATGGGAGTGTCGTCTGGTAGGTCTTGTACTTGTTGTTCAGTGAGGATCTCCACTGCTCCAAATTTCTGCCAAGACGCCCATTCCTTGGCCATGGAGGCGTCGAAGAGTGCACGATCTGACTCGGAGAGCTTGTAGATGTCAATCTCCCCGCGAGCGGCGGCCTTACCAGTGAGGAAGGCGTCGTGTGCCATCTCTTCAATCTTTGGATTGTTGAGCCAGGAAGCTGGTGCATCATCTTCGAGTTGCGAAACTTCAGAATCGGACTGGATCTCTGCCAGCCTTTTGAGCTTGGATTGGAGCGCCTTGTCATTCATGTCCGGGAAAACTTCGGCAGGACCTTCAGTGAAGTAAGGCCCAGGGGTGGTGCCAGACCTGTTGTGATGTCGGGCTGGTCCATCGCCATACGGTGGTAGTCCATCAAGTCGGTCAGGCGTTCTGAGTGCCTGATGCAGTTGACCTTGACCCTGATGGCTCACATGTACAGGAGGAGTGACTGGGACATAGGCGAAGGGTCCGGCTGATGATGGTGCTCCATGATGTTGTTCTGGACCACTTGACGGCTGCCCTTGCTCTTGTTCTGGTTCTCCTGTAGTGCGATGAGCTCTGGTCGGTGAGACCGGATCGTCCTTCCCATCTGGTTCATCGTGGGGTCGCTTGATTCCTCCGCCAAGTGGTAGCGGAGAGAGATTCCCAGCGGCAGCTGGGGGAGGCCCGTCGGGCTGATCTTGTAGTTCTTCTGGCGCCGGAACATCACCTTGCTGTTCTTCAGCGGGAAGATCTGGTACTGCGAGGGCATAAGGACGACGGGCCACATAGTTTCTGGCTCCTTTGGTGAACTCTGGCTCGATGATGTGCTGAGGGATGGCGTGAACTGCCACGAGCTCATCTTCACTTGCAAGACCTGAGTTGTTCACCAGTGGTCAGGATGACTGAGGGACCATACCTGAGCCAGTATGAATGTGGTTGATGACCTTCGGTAGTTGGCTCTTCATCATCGGCCATGCGTCTGGGGTTTCTGACTTCTACCCCAATGACCCGGGCAGGACCATTCCATTTGAAGCCTCGTTCATCAGCACCTTGTTGTCGAAGGAAGTAGACGTAGGCACCGATGGGGAAAGGGCCTCTTGTAGGCGTTGACTGGTGAAGCAGAGCACGTCGAACTCGGCTGTCTGTATCCAGTCTGACTTGAGCGACACGGGCAGCTTCTCTGATCGAGAGATTCTTGGCCATAGCAGACTGAGGATCTTCCGCTGCCTCAATGAGGTCAAGTCGCTCTTGATCTTGTTCCACCATCAAGGATCCGGGAATCCGGACCTCGGGCATGCCAAGTACCCACTGGTTCGGGGCATAGCCATTTGCACGAGGATGTGCATTTCTGATCTGGGTGACGATGGTAGTCGCGGTGATCATGTCTTGTAGACCTTGGATCTGGCTTTCTTGGACCACTTTGGTCATGAGCTGCTTCCAAAGACCGCCAGCACGTTCAACTTGGCCTTGTTTCCATGGTGCCTCAAGCGGCATGGCCTCTTGCTCGACTCCAAATTGCTTCAGGTAGTCGGCGAAGCTGGCAAGGAATTCTCTTCCACGATCAACTTGAATAGACTTTGGAAGTCAGTCCCGCCCAAGAGCTCCAGCTCGTGAGGAAGTGCCTGAGGACCGCCTTTGAAGCAGGAGGTCCCTTTGATTCTCCAAGGCATGACACCACTTGGAACCCAGAGGACTGGTCCAGGATGTTGAGGAAGGAAAACTGAATGCTGGAGACATCACGGGCATAGAAAACATCGAGCAGGAGGTGGTCATTGAAAACATAGCGACCGGGTAGTCGAACAGGTTTGGGTCGACGTCGAGTGATGCTCTCACCACAAGTGTCGCAGGTCATCTGAGCAGCGGCACGGATGGCTTCTGGCTTGGCGTTCTGACGCCGGAGGATCCTCATCATCGTGTTGCGGGTAGGGTGACCAAAGTTCACATGCAAGGTTCTCAGGACCTTACGGAGATCCGGATCCACTTGAAGCCATTCTTGACGGCGCTGAGCCTCAGGTCTGCTGAGGATTGGATCAAGCCCAGCAGCGACATGTTCACGAAGTTCTTGGTCTTGAAGAGGTTGGTCGTCATCGACTTGATCCTCAGGGCCTTCTTGTACATGAGGTTGTTCTAATTGAGAAGGTCGCAAGTAGACCGGTGGAGCGTCAAACTGATTTGCCAAGATGGCCATGCGACCCCTCCTTTGCCGTCGAGGTCGGCGAGGAGGTTGAGGATCAGCAGGATAGGCCTCTTGAACATTCTTGTAGGCATTCTTCTCAATCTCGGCCTGCTGGATCATGGTCATGAGGACCAGGTTGTTGAGCTGAGTAGGCCAAACTGAAGCCTGAGCTGTTCGTGATCCGAAGCGGTTGCTGCCTTCCAGAACTTCATGTCGGTGGCTGTGATCACAACGGCAGTTGCTGAAGATGCTTTCAGCTGCGATCATGCTGGTGATGTAGTAGCTGGGCTTCTTATGTGGAAGCGGTGAGCATTGATGCGGTCCTTGACCGTCTTGTTGACCGTACGAAGAACTGAGCTTCCTTGTTCTCGAAGAGAGTCAACTGTTTCAGCGGCAGCACCATCCTTGGCGAGGTTGAACTTTGACCAATTGCCCCATGGGCCGCAAGGATGGGTGATCACCGTCACATAGGGATCCTCAAGGAGGAGGTCATGATGCAGATGCCTCTTGCCAGCGCTGGTGGATGCATCCCACGCCGAAGAGCTTGAATCAAGAGGGACTCCGACTTGCATGCCGAGGATGACTGCCATGAGTGTCAATCCCATTTGGCCGGCAAAGATCTGCTTCAGCCACTTCTTGCCAACAGGTGGGTGCTTGGAGACTCGCGCCGGTTGACCATGAAGGGTTCGAAGAAGTCATCTCCATCCAGTGAGCGGCACATGTCCTCAAGTTTCTTCCCTTTCTTGTTGGTGGTCTTGCGGATGCAGCAGTGTTTGGACGCAAAGTCGGCGAAGAGGGTCTCATTCTCACAAACGGCGGCCTGATCCTCAGGGATCTGTTGTTGTGCAAAAGGTCGGCCGGTGAGAGGATCAATGCCCAGGACATCATCACGCCACGTAGCCAGGTCGTCCTGCATATCGTAGTAATCATCGGGATTCATGCCGCCAAAATCGTTGGTGTACTCGGCGGGGTCAATCTCTTCAAGCCAATTCTTGAATGGGTCGGACTCGTCTCTGGCTTGAGCAGCAGGATCATAGGAAAGACCTGGCGGCGGAGTTGTTGACTTGAGCGATGCCTGGATGGTCTCTTCATCTTCGCTTTCAAATTCATCCATCTTGGAGCTGTCGAAGTCGAGGAGGTTCAGAGCCAAATGTCCTCGAGAGGTCTTGAGCAGTGGCTTATCGTAGATGCCAAGCGTGGTGAAGGACACAGTTTGCTTGCCCAGGTTGATCACAGCGCCCAGCTCTTCCGTGAAAGGGCGGCTTATCAGCATCGGAGTGTTGCCAGGCGTCTCAGCGCTGTGGACCTCTCCGTGGACACCACAGATGCCGACCGGGAAGATGCGGACGTGCTTCGACTGGATCTTGCCCCCGATGCCTCTGAACGTTTGGTCTTTGCTTCGTTTTGCAGAACTCAAACCATTGGCAAGAAGACCTTGTTCCATTTGATCCGCCCAATCCTTGCCGTGCATAGTCCGGGTGCAGCCAGAATCAAGGATTGCCAAGCCAGGTGGATCATCAGCAGACAGGGCATAGCTCTCCTCCTCCTCGGGCAGCACGGTCATCATGACCTCACATTCATGCAGGTGCACTGAGTTGGGATCATCGATGTCATACTGGATGGGAGCCCAAAGCTTTCTGACAGGTTCCATAGGGCTCTTGTCGATCTCGCGCTTGCCTTTGGACTCGCCCTCTTCCTTTGAAGGTTTGGTGATTCTCTCAGCTGAAGCGCGCACCAGGCGCAGGCGGCCATAGAGATAGAAGGCGAAGCGGAAGATCTCTGGTGACATCGGTTCATTGGCGAGAGCATGAGTCATCACCTGCTTGCAGTAGTGCTCGGCCTGCGGGTCGGAGGAGACGACGTCGAAGCGATGACCCTGAAACGGGCTTCCATCATTGATCAACTCACAATCGCTTGGTAGAGGTTGGAGGATGTCCATGTCCTCGGAAGGAAGGTCAGGGAAGTCTGGTAGATCTTGATCAGGACTGATCAGCACACCATAGAGCCAGACTCGCTGCCTTGAGGCTCGCACAATTCGTGCCGTTGGTGGGTGCTTGGACGATGAAGAAGGTCCTGAAGCGACCGGAGACGGTGTAGAGTTCCCTGAGAGGACCACGTCCCAACCATCAGGAGTCGCGCTTGCTATGGAGAGGTTCTTGATGGGACCTTGTGTCTTCTGCGGAGTTGCAGGCTGAGATGCCTTCTTCGGATAGCCAGCGAGAGGTGCTTGATCTTGTAGTGCTTGATGTTCTTCTCTCACCTGACAAACTCGACGAAACAGGCCTGCTGATCTTTCAGATGCGCCCCACTTCGTGCACAGGAGAATTTGGACCAGATAGGACCACATCTCGATTGGCTCCTTTCGATGGCCGATGATGATCGTGCGGTCGCAGCCACGCTCCTTGCAGGTGACGTGTCTGGTGTGGCCATTGGCGCCGCGATGAAGTTTTCGCTCATCACCACCACGGTAGGAGGAGTGCTCACAAAGTTTGGGACAGTTCAAGGCCATGAAGGACTCAGCAGAACCATGGGTCTCTGAAGCATCACAGATGTGGCGGAAAGCCACTCGCTTCCGCCTGCAAAGGTGCTCAGGAGTAGGATCCGGCAGCTGCTGGCAGTTGAGGTCGTTCACAACATAGGCTGCCATGGTGTAGATCCCATGAGACACATCTTGCCCATCTGAAGTGCCAGTGCCGTTGAGGTTGATTGGGTCGTACCGATACACAGAGGCCTTGACATTCTCAGGAGTGATGAGGTTGTCAGTCACGTAGCACTCCTCGACCTCTGCAGTCGGAGACTCAACCATTGCAGCATCGGACACATCATGATCTTGGTGATCAGGTTCCGCTTCATGAAGGGCGAGCAGAGTAGTGGCCGGAGACTTCCTCTTCGGAGGTTGGCCTTTCTTCTTTGCTGAAGGTGCCGATGACTTTCCGCGGCCTTTTCCTTTCTTCACAGGACACTCTGGATCACCTGCCCAGTGGCCTTTCTGTTGGCAGGCAGTGCACGGGGTGACGGACTTCAGGAAGCGGACTGCAGACTTTCTCTGGTCCTTAGCCTTCTCGGAGAAGCTCATTTCACCGCGAGCCTGAAAGCCAAATGCTTGCTGGCTGGGAGAGCTTGGAGTAGAGGACTTGCCAGACATGAACTTCTTCTTCTTGAAGCGATGCTGGGCCACAGTGGCGAAGGCCTCAGCGGTGGCAGGATCTTCTGAAAGGTCTGGGAAGTCGCTCAAGAGGACGTCCATGAGCTCGTCATCGGAATAGCCAGCGTAGGCCTCGTCGGTGGGACCATCTTCATACTCTTCATCGTGGCCTTCCTCGATGTAGACATCATCGTCATACTCGGCAGGCTCAGGTTCATAGTCCTCAGCAGCCAGGACTTGCCGGGTCTTACCACTGAACTTCTGCTTCCATTGCATGCGAACCTGCTGAGTTGGAGGGCCACCTTGCTGTCGTGCTCCAAGGTAGTCACGACGGTGAACGGGCTTCCCAGCGGCATTGGGAAATTGGATCCGCATGGCGTGTGCAATCTTCTGGAACTCGTAGGTGTTGTTGCAGGAGCTGAGCACGGAGGTCTGTTCTTTTGGATCGAGGCCTCCAAAGCACAAAAGCATCATGGCTCTGACCTGCTCTGAGACCTGCGTGCCGGGGCTGTTGTCCTCGAGGCGCTTGAAGTCTTGCTCACGGCGTACGATGTACTGTTGCATGGTCTCATAGTTCTTTCTCCACACGCTGGTGCTGTAGAAGGCCTGAAAGAAGAGTTCACTTGTCTTCACTGGGAGTTCAGCTGCTATCGAATCCTTCAAGGTGGACAGGAGGAGGTTCATGCCAACGTCGGTCGCCTTGCCGTCGCTGTTCTTGGTCTTCAACTTGCCGTGTTCCAGCTTGCGGACCGACTCGTATGCAGCACCAGTGAGGCCAGCCCTCAAGTGAACTGGCGTTGCGATCTGGAGGCCGTCAGTGCCTTCTCTTCCATGAAAAAGATCCCAAGCCCGCTCTTCATACTCTTCAAAGAGCTCAGCTTCCCCACTGTATTGTGGGACTCCATAGCGATCTGTGATCAGACCGCCTGCGGTGGTCATGCCAAAGAGCTCAACCGTGAGGAAGGGCTCGACCAGGTCGTAGGGCCCGGTGCTCGCCGGAGCACCGGGGCTGCGGAGCGAGCGCAGAGGAAGCGCAGCAGCAGCGGCCGCGCTAGCGGAGGCCCGAGATTGCTCTCAGGCTCCGCTCACCATCAAAAGCGAGCTTGCGTCGCAGCGAGGTGCCTTTTCGAACCTTGTGCCAAGAGCGCTCTACGGCGCAGCGGGGTTCAAGCACAACCTCTCATGAGTGACCGGCTGGACTGCTATGCTGTTCCTGCTTAACAAATTCACATTCTATAATTAGTTATATACCACAGGGAGTTGCCCACTGATCAAGAGTCACATCTGTCATGTAGAATCAGCCTCGCCTCTGCAACAGCTCGGACACTGCCTACCGAGAGTGGTCGAAGTCAGTGAGAACATGTGAGAACCTTCGAAGGACTCGCATCACATTTGCCTATACACTCCCACACGCAACACCGATCAATTGATGGTATGGGTGGGTGGGATTGGAAGTCGCCACGAAAACCCGAACGCAGGATCTTCACAAGTCCAACCCACCCACCCAGCCGCTGAACTCCGGGTGATCCGTTGACGGACCGCTGAAAGCGTCACCGTTTCGTCACCACATGCCAAGACTCGAGAATGAAATAGACAGATACGAAGCATGCAAGGGACGAGACTTTCATGAGCTGAAAACTGAGGAAATATGAGGAAATTATATAGCTTGCTGCAACCAAAGGGTATTACTGTTGGCCCCCACCCGCCCCAATGAACATGCCCACTTCCATCATTGTGGCAAGGTCAAGGTCTCAAAAGCACGAAAACAGAAAACGTGAAAACACTACGGTAGTGAGGTCCGGTGTAGTCACCGCCGACGACGTTCTTGCGGCTGCTTGATTGCCCGTAGGCAAGGTGGTGCTAGGTGATGTCAGGTGGTTTCCTATCTCTTTACCCCCAGCCCCCCTGGCAGCCTGCAGCGCACCGGGCAGCCTTGGCTCCGGCTCCGGCGCCGGTGGCTCTGGTGCAGGCTCTGGCGCAGGGGCCTTTGTCTCGAGGAAGTGGTCAGGTCCGGAGAGAGTCTCTTTCCCCCGAAAGCAGCAAATCTTTAGTGGGTAGAAAAGCACCCAAACAAAAAGTAATTATTGCAAACATCGTGTGCAGGCTCTGTTGGTGTTTTCCTTGTGTTTTTTCCTCTAGCTCCATCGGAGGGTGTCCATTTGGTCGCATGCACCGCCGGCCTTCGCTTTCTCGAAGCCTTTGGACCTCGAAAGACCGCAAAATCGGTGAGTCAGTGCGGTGGTCCCAAAAGAGCTCATGAGGGCTCCTCAGGGCTCCTGATCTTCCGAAACTCCGACTGCGGATGATGATGCTTGGGAGGGGTCTTTGCTGAAAGTTGTGGTGGATCTGTTGCAAGAATAGGCCAGGTCAAAGTCCATTCTCCCCATTTGCTAAATGACAGAACTCTAGACTCTAGAATGCATTCAGTAATAGGGGTGCATTTGTTGTTGAAGGGATTCGCAGGTCCTGAGAACTGTTTTGAAACCCAAAAGGCAACCAGGACTATGTTACGAACATGTATTTTGAACAACACCAAATCGAAGGGTAAGCTCCTTTCTTTAACAAAACCGAACCCTATGTTGATATGTCGAATCGTCGCAAAGGAAAAACAAAGGATGACATTGGGAATACTTGCAGCCCCCCAATACAACCAAAACCTATTGGAGGTGACAGTTGGGCGCCACAAGTAGGAGTTTAGAAAGGGTGCAATATCATACCCATTAAAAAATCAGTTCAGTGGGGGTCTGAAAATGAGATTAGTTTGCATAGTCAATACCGTTCAGAAAAATGCAGAACCCTCAGACCAGTAAAACAACAGAAAACCGCTGGTCTTAGCTCCCCAGCGCAGCTCCTCGGGTCTTCTTCCACTCCTTAAGCTTCTTCAGCATCTCTGAGTCGCCCTCAGGTCGCACCGAAAAGTGTTTCTGCCTTGAATGTTGAATGTCTTTCTTTGGTTCTCAGTCTCTCCATGCCCCCTGGAACAGGAGGTGTCCACGTTCATGTCAATGAGCCGGAGGATAGTGTCATTCATAGTCCACTCCAAGGTGCCAAAATACCCAGGGTTCATTCACTGGGCCCCAATGCTTTAATTACTGAAACCATACGTAGTCTGCGCAATAGAGAGGACGCACCACCTTGTTGTCATTCAGGTGCAATCCCGCTCCATTCCACTTGCTCTCATGTGGAATATGTGGGAATCATTGCTCTCACTGATAGTGAGCATTTCAGCAAATCACAGCAATTAAGGCTCTCGCACTGTTTTCGGATGGCAGATGACTATCTGCATTAAGCCGGTACTGGAGACTGGCAAACAGCCCAAGGCAAAAGCTGCAAGGAAACAGAACGCAATGCGGTGATAATAAGACTCATCAACCACCGCTAAGAAGCGAATTACGCACAGGCTTTGTGCTGGCTCGCCCTCTCGGGAGTGAACCATGTGCTGCGCGCCGACTATGGTCAAATATCTTTTGCACAACAACTTATCACTGGACCAGGAAATGTATGGCTCTATGGGCCAACCACAAGTTGCTTGCTGGCATTGAACGCAATAATGACTCAGTTAGCAACCTTGACCAAAGAAACTTGGGCCACCCGAATAACCATCTTGGCCATCCAGCCTTGTCCATTGCATGGCTGCGCTCTCAACCGACATTCACTACACACTTGTCTTGAAGAGACAAGGTGTTCATCTTGGGCACTGAAGCTTCGGAACGGCCCTCCTCGCACAATGCCTGCTTAGCCCTCAAACCCATTCGAATGAAGGCTCCAAGCGGCTCTCGCATATTCTTTTTGAATAAATCGAACGTGGCGATGAGAGCTCCCTTCTCCTCCAGAAAAGGAGGATTGCGAAACTTAAGTCTTATATAGTTGCTGCATGTTGCTGCCACATTGGTCAGGTACAAGAGAGAAAACCTAATGAGACAAAACATGCCCGAACTGACGGCCTCCTCAGAGATGCGCTCCAAAAAGGCTTCTCGGCAAATGTCTACAGATAGCTCCAAGATGCGACAGGAAGGCTTCACCTCGTTACAAATCGCCTGCAAATCACTCGATGTTCAACGGCCAAGCAGCTAGGCGCTACAAGTAGAGACGAATACACTTTCAGGAAGACAACACCACCTCCGGGAACAGGTGATTCTGAAAACAATTTGTTTGAGCTGGAGATCTCGCGTATTTGGTCCTCTTCGGAAACGACAAGCACCGGAAATGGAATGGACACATCACCAACTAGACACACCAGGCCACAGCGAATTATCATACCTGATCAAGGCTGCACCCCGCCTGGTGTTCTTTTTGGAGCTCTGCCAACTCCGATTCGAGGTCCTTGAGCTCGTCTCCCATCTCCTTTTGCGCGTCTTTGAGCTCGCCCACCTCTTCCTTCAAGTTGTCAATAAGTTCCCACTCCTGATCAGCTTGCAAATCCATGCAAATCTGCTCCACAACGACACGACCCGACCCTTCCACGTCCTTGTCCTGATCCTGCTCTTCTTCACTGGCGGTGCTGGTATTGCTCCTGCATGTTCTGGGATTCATCGTAGAGTTCTTCAGCTCTTGCTCCTTCTGCTGCAAGACTTCCTAGACACGCGCTGTGAAAATTGGGGTTTGAATCACACCCCAGGACAACCCTCACTAAATCGCATTCACATGCGTTGACTGACCTTGTGATCCTTGAGCTGTTTCTTCTGCTTCCGAATCCGCGTCTCAATGACCTCGTAGATCAAGAACTTTGGTCCCCCCACTTGAATCAAATCAGCCAAATCAATGTTGCATGTTTGTCATGTTCCCACCTCAGCGGAGCCATCGGCTTGATTCTCGATGGCCTTCTTCTGCAGGCGGCTAACCAGCTTTTCTTTGACCTGAGACACCTTTGCTGGGTCGGTCTCTTTTGCTGCACTGCAAATGTCTTCTGGTCCAATGCCGGCCTCCAAAATGTCCTTGCACACCTCGAGCATGGCGCTTTCATATGCGTGTGGAAAAGATGCAGTTAATAAATACTACATTAGCAACGAAAGAAGTTCACTGGGAATCTAGTGGCAAGCCTGATCTGGATCACTGCCGTCCATCTTGGCCTCATACCGCAACAGCTCCCGCATGTCGTTCTGCGGTATACCCAGGCGCGGCAAGCTCCGCTGACGCAAGAGCGGTGTCAGAACCACCTGGTCACACAGAAAGCTGCCCGGTATGTCCAGTTATATATGTTGATAGAAGTCACTGATACTTGCAGAATCTCAACGTTTGTTATAATTACAGTTCTCCTCCTTGTGCCGGCAACAGCGGGGTCACAGGAACTGATGAAATTCACTAAGGACACTCTTCAAGTAGGGTGTTAGCTGTTGGGTAAAGGTTACACCCGACTCAAGATTCTCCAGCCGATATAGCATCCAACTCTATGTTGGAACTCTGTTACACACCTTGGCTTTGGAGATCTTCTCTGTTCCACCTGGAAGAGGTGAAGCAATCTGTTCCTGCGTCGTGAGTCGTGCGTCTGAAGAAAAAGCTTATTTGCACTGCTGCGACTGCTCTTTTCACGTGAACTCTATATATATATATACACAGAAGCTTGCATATCATACAGGCTCATGTGCTGTCCTTGAGCGAGTCACTGAAGAGCACAATCGATTGCACCATCCCTAGCAAGTCCTGCAAAACTCCAAGGATGAACAGATATGAATAGAATGCATGGTGAATCAATTGGGGTCTGCAACTGCCCACTAATAGCAGTGAGGCAAGTCACCCCAGGCTTTATCCGCGGACAATGAATTCCTGCTGTGGCAAAGAAAGCACTGCTACGATCAAAAGGTAGAATTAGAAGTCCTGCTCAAAAGCGCTGTTCCGCTTAATCTGCTCCTTCATCTTCGTCAAACCGTCGAGCTCTTGGAGCAAGAGCTTTGAGCTGGTTGTGCCAAAGTTCTCGAGTTGACTCTGCTGTTTCATTCCAATTTGGTTCACCTGGGTAACATGATTGTCCTGCAGCTTCTGCAAGGCGGCCAACATATTGCGGCTTGTCTTTTCAGCTGACTCCATGAGTTTCTCCGCATCCTCCAGATCACCTTTGCACGTCTCCAAGCCTTGTGTTATGTTGAGCACTCTTTCTTGAGCTGAATTATGCTCTTGCGTGAGCTTCTTAACTTCATCTCCCATGTCCTCTTCAAGCTTGCGGTACCTCTTCGTCAGTTCTTCCTCATCTGATTTGGACATGTTTTCTGCATCACGCTTGGCTTCTTCAAGTTCTCTGCTTTTCTCTGCGTAGCGTTCTTTCAGCTCTTTGGTCCGCTCCTGATTCTTAACTTTGTATTCCTTCTCCAGCGAACGTAGCATGGAAACTTTCGTTTCCAAGAAGCTATGCTGTAGGTTTACCATTTTGGTCAAATCCTCGAAGACACGAGTCAAGTCTTCGGCCTTGACCAATTGCAGCAAGTTGATCTTCTCAGCACCAAGTTCCAAAAAGGTCTGCCCCCCATTTGCAGCTTTCACTAGTGGCTCCAAACTTTCCTGCACGGTGACAGTATTGCCGCCGCGCTCTGCAATATGCACGAAAATCGTGCACATGCTGCGCTCCTGGGCAACCGATTCATGAATTTCTTTCGCAATCTTGGCTGCCTTTGCAATGTCCCAGCTATCAGACAGGCCATCCGACAGGAAGACCGTGAAGAAGCGCGCTAACTTTGGCTCGGCGTTGGCGCGTTCTTTGATTTTCTCCCATGCGGATGCAAAGCAAGTACCGCCTCCCCGCTCTTCATTCCTCAGCTGCTCCACGAAGTTCTTGCTCACTGGGACACACTGTGCCAGGCATTTTGCGCTCCCATTGAAGCAAATGGTGCTGACTTTATCCTGCGAGCCCCGGCTCAGAAGTGTCCTCCGGAAAGCATCAGCCGCTTCAAGGGCCAAGGTCCAGCTGGTTGAACCCAACACCCCATGGCGAATGTCCATACTGCCACTCTTGTCAAACGCAAAGACGATATGATTGAAGTTGTGGATGTCCAAGGCTACAAGCTGCTTCTCGTTCTCTTTCAACTTGGCTTCACACGCATCAAGGGGCTCCCTGCTCTTGCGCTCATCCTCTTCTTGCCGCGCCTTCAAGGCCTTCATTTGTTGTTCCACTTCCTCTTTTCGTGCAGAGTTTCTCGCAATGAGGTCGTCCTTGCAGGCAGGCCCCATCGTTGCACTCGAGACTGTCTATGGTAAACACGACAAGCCAAAGGACAAAGGGAAACAACTCAAGCACTACTTGGTCACACAAAATCGCACTGCTCCTTGGATCTGTCCTTCTTGTCCCGCAGACTATCCAATTCAGCCTGCTTGTGCTGCAACCTGGTTCTTAAAGACTCTTCCTCCTCCTCCGCCTGTTTCAACCTGGCTTCCTGGAAGCCTTTCTCCGCTTGCTTCAGGGCAACCTCTTCAGGTCACGGTTGTCTCAAAAACACTCAGTCCGCATGAGGTGTGTTCATGTTTCGCTGGCTGTAGGAAATTGAGCTTACTACAGCCACAGGTCGACCCACGTACAGCAACCGGCTTGGACCCTTGGCCTCCAAAGCACTTACCCCGCCCTGTACCTTTGCTTTTTGTCCTGCTTCCTGTGTTTTGGCTTATCCACTAGAAAGAGAACTCCCTGCAATTTCTCTCTTATTATGTTGGTGCTGTTCTCCTACGCAGACTCTGGATCCCTCTAAGTGGTTTTCGTCCTGGTTTCTATGCGAAGCGCAGGCAAAGTTCAATCAAGGGGTCATGATTCTTCCAACAAGCACATTGAGACTGACATGTGTCAAGTTGCACTCACCTATGTAAAATGCCAAATAACGTATGATGTATTACAGAGGTTATATTATATAGTTGCACCGGCAAAGGTGATCAGGCACATGTCGAGTTGCAAAGATATGAAATAACACACAGGCACACAGCTTCGCAGGGTTGACTGACACACCTTCGGTTGAAAAGCTTGAACACACAGGTTGACTTCCGCTGGCTGAGCTTGCACAAGTCTTTTGGCACACAGTGAGGTCCACAGGAGGAACTTAAAGTTCACTTGCACCGGGGCAACGCCAAGTATGTTGAATAACTTGGTTGGGAATACTTGTTTGGATTTTGAGGCCCTTTCGAACTATACAAATGCAATTTTGACGACTTGGATTGAATGCCAAGTTTGAGCCATTGAATCTTGAAGAGGCTTGGAAGCGGATTTGCAAGTGAAGGCTGGCACGGAGTGGACCATTGCAACTGTGGATAACTCGAGGAGGACGTCGAGGGCAGGCTCGCAGAAAGTGTTTCTTCAAAATGTGTCCAATTCTGAGTCTAAGTGGTGATTCTCCTCTATCCAACTCATGGGCTCCTCTAGGGTCCTTAATCATGAAGCGTAACAATTGTGTGCGCGATGTGCGAGAATCATGTATAAAATTAACTATTATATATATTGTTACATACATTGATACATATACTTTCAGAAATGTAGAAGTGCTCACAAAGACACACTAGCGGCACATTGTCTGTGAGTGGCCACAGCAGGAAATTCCTAGAATGATACTGGAAGCCTTTGACCTCAGAGAGCACTCTGCCATCCGTCAAGCCTCAGTTTTCTTCTCGCTGACTTCTTTGTGCATGTCGTTCTTTTGCTGCTGAAACTGCTTTTGCTCCTCCCACACATTCCTGAGTTCACCCAGGATATCTGAGCTGCTGATATTGTCGAGGGCATCTTGGAGCACATCAAGCATTGCATGATTGTGCCCTCGGTCGCAGCAGGAGCCTAGCACTTCCTCCATGTACCGAAACTGTTGCACAACAGTTTCGATTCTCTTCATCTCTGCTTCGATAAACTTGCTGTCAAACTTGACGTTGCTGCCAGCCCCAGCTCCTCTGCCTGATCAAACGGGATGCGAGCGACAGTGTCAAGAGAAAGCATGACACGATGTTTGTTTTGTAGTTTCACCAACTGAGGATTCTAATGTGACCTTCACGTGTCCGTCAGCCCCGCCCGGCAACAGCCTGTCAAGTCAAAGATTCGATCGATGCGCTCATATGCGTCCATGACCACTTGGAGCAGGTCCCTACAATGATGACTCCCTCGCACCAGGGTCGTCGTCAGGTCGTAGTTCCGTTCTGAGACAAAGAGATGGTGCAAGAATCCGGACGTCGGTTAAACCAACTGCACCGTATGTTGGTGTAAGATGGTCTAAGCATGTTTAAGCTTACTGTCTTCTCAAATGATGCTTTGCCATGCATGCCATGCAAAAAGGCCCAGGTATATATATATATATAGACCCAAAGGGGGATCAGTTTCGTCTCAGCCATCTGCACTGTGCGGAAATGGTGGATCAAACGGCCAACTCGCAGGAGATCTGCACCATGAAGACTAGCCAAAGGATATCTTGCACCCGGGCCATGATGGGGTTGGATGGTGAACAACGGCGGCAATGGGTCAGAGCTCCATACCCCAGGTGTAACACACAAAGAGCCCTCGGTGTTGGTCTTGCCCACAAAAAGCTTTCTTTGCGTTCAAGCATCTCTCGCTTGACTTCAAGATCTCAAGGAGCTTGTGCTGACACGCTGCTACCCCTGGGTCGGACCCATTCATCAGGCTTTTTGCAGCGCAGCGGACGGTCTCACCCAGCACACTCATCTCCTTGCTGGCCTGAAGCAGGGGAGACGGTCGGATTAGGATATTCTCAAGGATTAAAGTGATGGAGACTGTTATGGATGTTCAGGATGTTCGAACAGGCTTTCGCATACAAGAAACTCCAATCAGTGAAACGGCAAACAAATCAAAATGTACTGAGAGTGCAACCTCCAAAGCAAACTTGATGATCTTCCAGGCTTAAAGAATCGAGTGCACACACATATTCCATATTTGTCAATTCCAATGCTCAATCGATTCTGCTGCAACGGTCTCCAATTCACACGGCTTTCCACCAGGCCTCTGGCCAGTGCTCACACTTCAAAGCCAACGTTCGGACAGCCTCGGAGTGGCAAGTCATGTCAGCCGCCCGCCTTGTGTTTTGCACCTCAGTGACGGTCGCAAATAGGCATCGACTGCATCGATGGACTTCACCGGGTGGTACCAAATATCTGATATCTGCCTCTATTGGTTTGTCGTAGCGCCAAAACTATACAATAACACCTATCCGTGCTGGAGAATCACCAAGATTATGCAGGTAGGGTAGCCAGTTTGATTAGCCGAATATGCCTTTGCCCCACCGGGTACTCAAACTGACTCGACCATGGATGCCACACCCGCACCAGGCCTGGGTGTCTGGATCCTCAGCTGCTGTAGCACCGGCACTATTTTCGGCACCATCCACTCCTGCAGCATTTGAGCTGTCGAGCGGCGACGCTGTTGCACCATCAACCGCCTTCATCACAGGATCAGTCGTGCGAACTCGCTATAGCTGTTGAGACTCTGAGAGCTGCAAGCCAAACTGCCGCCGGAATGATTAGATATATGGAGCATTGCAGGAGTTCCAAGTGACAGATTCAATTATTTTATCAAGGTTGTTTGGGATCATCATGATTCATTACAGCCTTACTTACTAGAGTATGTTGTTGTTGTTGCTGAGTTTGCTCTAGGTCGAAACTCATTTCTTCATGCTGTTTCATCCATCTCCTGAGCTTCGCACCGACACCTCCACACCACCACTGGCACGTCGAGGGATCGCACGCTCTACATGGGAGGCCTCGTTCAGGCCGCTTTCAACCAGTGGTTCAGGACAGTCGGAGAGGTCTCATATCATCATATTGTCAATTTCAAGGCTCCAAGGGGACTGGTTTCGGACTTGCTTTTGAGCCTAATTGATGGATGTTCGGAGATCAGGATCAGGGGTCAAAACCGAAACGTCTTGGGGAAGCTCGCTGTCGCCGTAGACCTTCCAAACATCCTAGTCATTCCGGGAGCAGGTCTCCATTCAACTTGACCCTCACTGGCTGGTGAAGTAACACTGTAATCACTGCCTCATGTTTTCAGAAATGCAAACATTTCGTCAATCCCAAAAGCATCGTTTAATTAAACATTCACCATCCTTCGCCTGTGGAATTCCGTGTCCGTCTTCTTAGTCTCATATGTACACCTCCAGCTTTTCAGGCTGGTTTCAACATGTTTCAACCTATCTCTCAGACTGGGCTTTAGAAGCCTGCGTGCTGAAAGGCCTGTTTGCATGGTTCTGGCTGTTCCTGGAATGTTGTTCATCAAAAGTGATTCCAACATCAAGCATGCTTGAGGTTCAAAAAAGAACGTGTCCGACTGCATTTTTAGGGTTGACCAGTAATGATGTGTCAGGGGGACCTCGAAATGACCAAGAGTGACCCTAACGGAGCTGCTCTTCGACACACCGACCCGGCCAGCACTGGCTCACTGCAAAAGGCCAGGAACCTGGGAATCACCGCTTCCAGCATTCGTGCACCCTTTGCAATGCGCCATTGATGGGTGGCATTCCGGTCGAAAGTGATACCCTTCATGGCCACATGGGCAGGGGGCACAGGGTGGGCCGCTAGCAGGAAACTCCTGGTACATCAAGGGTCACATGCCCTGTCGGTGGACCAGCTGGTGGACCAACGGAAAGGCTGATGAACAAAGTCATGAACCACGTGGGAACCATAAAAATGCATGATGTTCTATTGGACATTGAATGACATTGATATGATGTGGTCCCCGAACAATTTCCCCAAACCATTCAAGACTCTTTCTCTGGACAACGCTTTGCTGGTTTGGGCCACCCCCAGCCGGGCGGGCAGGGAAGGGCACAACTAGTCACCCCAACTATAGCTACAGGTCATCACGGCAAGCGACTTTCATCCATAACGAATTACAGGGAGTCTCACGACCCTCATCATACAAGAAGAACAAAACCCATGGTAGTGATCCCAGGGCTCCAAGGATGTGAATTCTATGCTATCCTTTCTGGCAAGTTACTTATATAGTGAATGTCAAACTCATGTTTGTCTGAATATGGAATTGGAAGCAGGGCTGTACTCTGAGTTGTGGACTATCTAAATATATAGGTCCAAAAGTCCAATTGTGGCTGGCGCGGTAGTAGTGAGTAACATCGAGCATGACATAGTCAGTTCAAGTTGCAGCTCTGCGGCTTGCAACTACAAATTCAGTTAATTAAATATGGCTGGCTCCAACACAGGGTCCACTCTGCTTCCCCCATTGCTGCATCCATCTGGGCTGCCACGCGGTGTGCCAACGGCCATGAGCAACAGCGGCTGCAGGCGCCGCCATGCGCAGCGCGGACCGTCGGGTTGCATGGTGCGTTTCATGGGTGCGTGGACGTGTCAACGTCCAAAGCGCAGGGGTGGTGCGGAGTGGGCTGGAGGCTGGAGGGTCACCCAAGTCAAGGATGATGGGAAAGCTGGAGTTCATGAATAGCGCATCAACTTCTGGAAAGAACATCACGCATTTCAGCCACTTGGAAGGATTGTTGGCTTTTCCTTGGGATAGGCCAGATCCAACCAGGGTCAGCAATGCTTTCCGCGATAGAATTGGCCTTTGGATTGCTAGTGAGACTTGACTTCCGGAATTCGACCCAATCAATGTCTAATGCAGTACTCTGGCTCGCAACGCTGCTGTTGCTTGTTGGCTGCAGAATTTGGCATTTGAAGAAAGAATTGCAGGTGCATCAATGACACAAAACTTGGTGCTGCTCTGCGTGCGAGTTCTCAACAACAATCAAACACCTCTCATGCAAGTTCCTCAAAAAACAGCCTGAGTGCGCTTGTCGCCAATCAGCCACAGTCGTGGGAAAGGACAATAGGCATCTTCAGGGTTTGTTCTTCAAGTCCTTTCCATCTGTCAAAAACTATCTGCTTCCCATGGCAGAGAGTCTAATGTTTAACTTGTCTGAAGTCCTTCTCAAGAGGTAACTGAGGTGACCAGTTTTCTTCCTGGTGTCATCCATTTTCCATGCACCCGCAATCCGTCGAGGCCGAGACCTGCTCTGCACAGCTTGCTCTCCTGTCCTGCACAATGGAGACACCGGCCCAACCAACTGTGGTGTTGAATGGTCGTGAAGGCCCATGGACTGGTTTGAGTCATGATCACCTCACGAATTCCAATATGTTCTAATCTCCCGAGTTTGCTCCCCGAACGCTGCTGCCCTACGTCCATGCGCACACTCAGAAGTGCAGTGAGAGTCACAGTGAGCTATGTAGTTCTTCAACAGGCAGGGGCAGCTGAAGTGCGTGGTGACGCCGGTCAAAGGAGCCCACCTGTGATTCAGGAAAGACAAAAAATAACAAGATGGAACCCACGAACCCGAATGCAAGCACGATCGAAAAACTAATATGTCCAAAGGACACTCTTGTAGGACACTCTTGCGGGACACTCTGT